AATGCTGAATATCAGACCTTATTTTTAAGTTGATCTGCATTCAGTAATATATAACTTGACAACACGAAGTTGGAACAAAACCTGTCTAGTATCCTTTCTTTCTGTCTAGTATCTCAGGCCAGATTTTGGGTCACACTTCTTCTGGCAAGTGAAATATTAAACTGTAAGATCCTGTTGACCTTAAAATTTGAGGTAGTGACTCTGTTCAGTCATTACAAAACACAAATGAATGGAAAGCATCCCCCTACCCGCTCCGGTCTTTTTTTTTGTAAAGAGTGCAGGATTGTAAGACACAAACTTGACATTGCTGGCTTACTGCTGTGTCTGCTATGTTAGTCTCTTCTATCTTGTTGGTATGGCCCTACCACTAACTGTGTAAGTCTGGCTCTGGTTTGTCTTACCAAAATACAATGCCTCACTTTTATCTAATTATACTACATCTGCTTCCTCTTTTAATGTGAGAAGAAAATGATGCCACTTTGAAAAAGACCTTTTTAATTTCATGGCCCAAGTCCAATTATTTTGTCTCTTCTGTTCTTGGTAACACTATCAGTTGTTCATTTTTTACGAACATATTGATATATTGAAATGTGCAATATTGAACTAACTTAATAGCTAGCAATGAGGTATGGCATACTGTACTGATAAATTACCCAGCCAGAAATATGCCAGTTGGGTTTAAGATGTTGAAATTTACAACTGTTTACGTAATCTTGCTGCAGATATGATTGAAAGTATATTTTGATGTTTTAAGGTTGTTTGTAAATTTAAAGGAGTGAGTACTGTGACCTTTTCTGAAGTGTAGCTGGTATTAAATTTGTGTGGTTTGATTGGTAGAGATCAAAGGAAGGCTTAGATTGTTTTACTGGGAAAAAGGTGCAAAGTAATTAATTTTATAGCAAATGGCAGCAGCTAGTGTGTTGAGTGTTAGGACTGTGAAGTCATAAACAGTTCTGATTTGACCTGTCCATTTAGTTCCAGGAGGAAAGTATTGGCCTTTCTCGGATAGCTAATTAGCAGTTCTAACTAGAAACAAGATCCATGTGATTTACATTGCTAGCAGGAAAGGATGCAGAGGAAACCATTGTAAAGATCAGTTTCCAGACTTTCCTAGAATATCACTGAATATCTCAAATAGTTTTATGTGGAGATTTACTGGACTTGAGAGAGAGGGGACATCTAGAAACCATGGGAAATGCAGGATTACAGGGATCTAGAAACCAAAATGTTGCTGCAGTTCTTCATAGAGGAATGTGGCTGGGAGTTCATGCTTGGGTCTGAAAGAGCAAATGCATTTTAAGTTAAATTGAGGCCTGAAGTGCCACCAAACATTGTCTACGAGGAGGGTGTCCGGGAAGAAAGAATCTCATGTGAGCTTAGTAACTGAGGAAAGAAAAGGACACAAAAGAACACCTTTTCCCTAGTAAAACAAATGTATTGTAGGAACTAAGAAGCTTTGTAATGATTCTGAGAATATTGGTTGTCCAAGTAAAAGACAGTGTAAAGTATACCTGTGAGGTGTATTTTTTTTCAGTTGTATTATGTTCTGTGGTTTTAAATTATAGGATTTCCACAGAGTTAGCGTTTAGGTCATGGTGTTGTTAATCATTTGTTACAATAAATATCTTAAAATGAGAAATCTTGATATGTCATTCTTTTAGTTATTAACTGAAAATTGTGGTGCTTTAGCAAATTGGACATTGTAACAGACTTGCTAATTTAGTAGTTAAAGTGCTTCCGTTTATTCTTTGTAAATTTGGTTTACAAATTGGTTTATAGACCTAATTATAAATGGGGTTTGGCCACCTATCTTGCTTTGGAGTTAATGTATCACGCCCGTTTGCACCCTGGGAACCATTACTTTCTAAAAGTATACATGCACACCCACATGTAAAATGCTAATTTTTTAATAGAATTTCTACAGTGTGGAAACACGTCATTCGGCCCAAAATGTCCACTCCGACTCTGCAAGTAGCATCCCTCCCAGACTCTTACCCCCCTACCCTGTCCCTGTAACATTGCATTTCCCATAGCCAATCCACCTAACCTGCACATCCCTGGACTGTAGGAGGAAACCTATGCAGACACGGGGAGAACATGCAAACTCGACACAGACAGTCGCTCGAGGCTAGAATTGAACCTCGGTCCCTGGTGCTGTGAAGCAGCAGTGCTAACCGGAACCACAATGATGTGATCATGGTTGTCCTTTGATCACAACCATAGCTGATCTCATTGCAGCTTTAACTCCAGTTTCCTGCCCACTCTTCATAACCTTTTAACCTGTTACTATCTCCTCCTTGAATTTATTCAGTGTCCAGCATCCAACGCACTCTGGAGTATTGAATTCCACAAGTTTACAACCTTTTGAGAGAAGTCATTTGTCTTAGTGGTAACTGTTACTTGATCATTAAAATTTTGTGGGTTTTTTTCAGCTCTCTCTATACTGATACATTCATTGAAATGTAACAGCATTTAATTTGCATGTCTTGTGCTTCATTACTTTATCCCGTTACATCAGTCTGTTGTCTGTCAGCCCTTCTTCGTGTCATCACAAATGGGTGATAAATCTGGATTGTAACTGTATCTGTGGACATATGCACAGGTCGTCCTGATAGTTTGATGGAGCTGAAGGCTATGAATGGTTAAAATGCTACCATTGTTTGTTCAATTAAGTCGATTACATGTCAGTCACAAGCGAGGCCTGAATGCATTTCAATCAGACAAGTGAATGGTATAAACTGAAGGCTGTTTACAAGCTTGTGTTAATAATTTTAAGCACTATTTTTCATCATTATATAATTCTGTTCCTTTGTCTTTGATGTCACAACACAAATAAACACTGCTAACCAATGCAATTACATGTGTAAAGAAGAGATAGAGACCAATGAGTCTTTTGGCATATTAGCATATGTGCAAACATCAAAAAAAGGACTTGGAGACTTGGTCAATGTCTCATTGGGCTCATGAACTGCTCAGTATGGTCCTACACAGATTCTGGAATATGGATCTGCTTGTATTATAGTTGCCACAGCATTCCAAAGATCAAGAAGGAGAAATAATCCAGGATTCTTGTTTCTAATTGTCATCTGCTCCTTTGACCATTGCTGAAACATTGTGTGACATCAGGATTGGATGTAATGGCCCCGAGTGCATTCCATCTTCGCTCCTCCTTAAGCAGTCCTTTAGGACCCAGGAATACTTGCATCCACACCAATTTGATGAGTGCTGAAATGGTGGCCAAGTCCAGTATGTGATCACCGACTCGACTACCGATGCTTCAAGCTGATGGTGCTTGAAGGTACAAACAGGTAAGGTGTTTGGAGGGTTGTGTACTCTCTCTAACACCTTGACTTCACCTCTGTGTGTTCTTAACAAAGTCTTTTGATGAATTTGGTGCCTTCTGAAAAAAAACCAGCTCCCTTTTAGTCTGCTCCAAACCAAGGTAACTCATGGGTCAGCAGGAGTGTTTGATCTTTTCAGGGTTGTTTTGTGTTCTGTTGTTACAACAGATTTTTCAAGAGAACAGTTGTTTAGGGAGTCTGGAGCCAGGCATACTAATGAAAAGTCCCACCCAGCAAAGATGGCTTTGACTGATTGGTGCCTTGATGTTGGGCAAGTTAGCTAGCGAGACAGTGGTGACATTGGATTGTCTTTTGTACCATCCGGTTTGCAGAATCTAACATGGCTTCCCCTCCATCTCCAGACAAAGAACGGCCATTTAATCCAAGATGCTGTATCCTTTAAATTAACACCCTCACAAGAGTCTGTATCTTTAACGGGCAAGAGCAGTTTTCTAGCATTATCAATAAGACACTTGTAACACACGCTGATCATGTATCACACACTGATCATGTGTGAGATGGTAATGTGATAATAATGTCATGGGACTCGTAATCCAAAGTCCTGTGTTTATGGGATATAATCCCAACATAGCAGCTGGTGGAACTTAAGTTGAATTAATAAAATCTGGATCAAAAGCTAGTAATAATAGTGCATGTAAAACTATCATCAATTATCATAAAAACCATCCAATTCACTAATATCCTGTAGGGATGAAAGCCTAATTGGCCTACATGTGACTCCAGATCATAACAAATGTGGTTGACTCTTGACTGAAATGTCCCAGGACATTTCAAGGGCAATTCAGAAGTAGGCAATAAATGCTGTCCTTTCCAGCTATGTCCATATTCCTTCAGAGAATTTTTTTAAAAATTACATAAAATATAAAAATTATGCTCTATTTAAATTGCATTTTTCATAACTTGTAACGTGATTTATTTTTGAAAAAAGCAAGTGTTTGAAACAGAGGAAAATGGGCGTCATGGAGGAAGCTACACAGTGGGTTCAGTTGTGGGTTGTTCTGAGAAAGACAAAAACGGCAAATGTTTTCCGATACTGTCAGGTTCTGTCATTATACTTGGGAGTTTGATCTAAGAAAGCAAACACAAAAATAGATCCGAGACACTGGTTAAAGACAACTGTTAGACATGGCTTTCCTGAGGTCACATTTCCAGTGTAACAAAGAATCAAATTTCCAGGGATTTGAATTTTCCACTATGTCAGATTGTGACCACAGGCCTGAAAAAGATTGTTGCTTATTCAAACAGGATCTATTTTCAGTCTATCAGGCTGAGAGTGATAGGGTGTGAAAATGAACCAAATTAAAACATTTTAATTCACAATGCAATGTGACTAAAAATTTACATTTCATGTCATTTTCCCTTCCAGTTAATGTTCACAAGCTTTCATTAATCAATTTTGTTTTGTTAATATGTTATTCAGAAGTTTTTTTCATGTTGCAAATAAAATAAATCGCCTCAATTTAAAGGGTATTTTTTCTGGGAATTCTTCACGACTTCAGGGTCACACTCTACTTTGCAATTGATGTTATTGATTATTCTCATTAGAAAGAACTATAGTTTTGAAACAATATTGTCGTCATATTGGGATGGAACTGCAAAACATCTCTTACCGTTTCGTTGTTTCTGTTTTGATTTCAGAAACGGGATAACCCACAGATGACACCTGCCTTCTCTGCAAGAGCCAATGAGCTGAAGCGAAAAGACAAATACATGAACACACTCTTTTCCAGTCATGTACGGAAGGTAAGCTCGTTATTTGTCCTGATTGCAGGTTGAGGAAAAGCATCTCAATTCAAACACATTTAGATTCTCCTCCACCTACATGATTTTATTTTATTATAAATTCATATTTTTTATTTTACTTATTCTATTTTGTTTGTTTTTTGAAGTAAAGAAAAGTTTCTGTCAGGCATCTAGCTCTAAATTACCAGCTTAGAGTAAAATCTAATACTATTTTAAATTTTGATAAACTTTGATGAATCAAAGATCTTAACTAAAGCATTGTTTCGAGTTCTGGACTTCACGCTTAACTCAGGACATCAGAAAGGGTGCAGAGATTTACTAAAGTGGTCCAGGAATGAAGAAGTCCAGTTATTTGGCAATACTACAGTTTGTTCTGAAAATATCCTCCATAGGGTGAAGAAGGTTGAAGGGATGTACTGTAGACTGGTATGGATAGAGTAGATTAGGTGAAACTGTTTTCATTGACAGAAATGTTGAGAACCAGAGAACACTGCTTTAATGTGAATGGCAAAAAAAAAGAGGTAACACAGGAAAAACAGTTTTACGGAGTGAGTGGCTAGGTTTGGAAATGCACTCCCTGGGAATATGGTGAATGCAGATCCAATCATGGCTGTCAAAGAATCTGAATAATGACGTTAAGAAGCACATTTACAGGACAGTGATAAAAATGTAGGGGTGTAGGAATGGGTGAAATATTCTTGTGTGCCTACTCGATGCTAGCTCTGCTCCCTTCTGAGTCCATTCACTCAGTATAAATTATATTATATGACTCATTGGTTGTGTATAATGGAAAGTGTGGAAACACTGCTGAGAAAACACCCATTCAGAAATGTTCTCTGGGGGAGTGAAACACAACAGTTCCTAAAGCGCGTACAAGTATGAATCAAAAAAATCAGCAACATATCAACAACAGAGGCTTCAAACCTCTCTAATGTTGCCAGAACACAAACTGAGACATTGATAAAAGAGATCACAGCAAACCCAACTTAATTAGTTGGTAGCACTGTACTTGAATATAGCTTTAAATAAAGATACACTTTGTCAAAAGTTTTCACCTTCTACTCATCAGGACCAAATACCAAATTAAAGGAAAAACAACATTCATACTGCTTCACAGGAGTGTACTGATTGATTGATTGGCAAGTGAACTCTGATTAATGCACCAGTTAATCGTGAGGGATAGTTAACTATCAAGCTTTGTTTACATTTTAAACACGGCATGTTAACTCTGGTCAAAGCATTGCCTAAGAAATGAACGAGAAAATGGCTGTCACCTATTTTATTGTGTTGAAACAATTGCAGTGCGTGCACATGTTGTCTGTCTGTAAAGAGCAAGACTCTGTGCATTAATATATGGAACTTCCAGTACATGTATGTGTGCCATACTGTGAGCCCAACTGACGATCCACAATTGGGTGTCAACTTAATTCTTGCACACTCAGGATTCTTTAGCAAGTGTTGTCTTATTGTGGAATCACATCTGATGAGGGACGCTCTGTTGTGAGTTTTACAAGTACAGGCTATTTGGGAATGGACAGTACCCTGTCTGTTGCAGACAACCAAAGGGATATGTTGATTGATATGATCTGCCAATCTTTGGGAGTTACAGCCTATATACCTAGTATTGCACCAGCACTGCAATTCACAGACCCCATTAACCATTTGTGTGATAGACATAACAATTTTTGATTTGAAGGTAGCATCCTGTATAGTAACTACATGAAGCAGCTAACTTCACCTCTTCCTCAAACATTTGGTTGGGAACTTGGGACTGGGATATCACAGCTATTACAGAAACATGGCTCAGGGTTGGACGGAGCTGGCATCTTAATGTTCCATGGTATAGATGTTATAGGAAGGATAGAAAGCAAGTGAGGAGAGGGAGTGATATGTTTGGTGAGGGAGAACATTACAGCTGTACTTAGGAAGGATATTCCTGGGAGAATATTCAGTGAATTTGTATGGGTGGAAGGGAGAAATAAGAAAGTGATGATCAACTTAGTAGTATTGTATATAGGCTCCCCAGTAGCCAGCAGGAAATTGAGAAGTAAATATGTAAGAGATCTCATATTTGTAAGCATAATAGGGTTGTAATGGTAGGGGATTTTAACTTCCCAAAAATAGGCTGGGACTGCCGCAGTGTTAAGGGCTTAGGTGGAGAGGAATTTAAGTGTGTGCAGTCCTTTCTGCTATAACGTGATAGTTGCGCTCTTGTGTGACCTCATGCTATAGAAAATTATGCAATAAACATAACAGGGCTGATGGAAAAAATAGGGTTGGGGCAGACCACCAAAAATATTACTCCAAGTCAAAACAAATATAGTAGTTAGCCCAACACAAAGGATAGCATAGTTTAAATAAATGTTAAATTCATATCTAATAATGAAATAATACAGTAACTTTAACATTTTTATCTTGAAAAAATTTGAAGATAATTTGATGGAGAGGAGATAGCAAGAACTGCAGATGCTGGAGTCAGAGATAACACGGTGTGGAGCTGGATGAACACAGCAGGCCAGGCAGCATCAGAGGAGCAGGAAAGTTGACGTTTCAGGTCAGGACCCTTCTTCAGAAATTTGCTGCTCCTCTGATGCTGCCTGGCCTGCTGTGTTCCTTCAGCTCCACACTGTGTTGTCCTTGATGGGGAGGAGGGTGGTTTTGAGGTTGCTGAGTTGTTAAGACAGGGGCTGAGGGTCATCATCATCATCACCACCTCCTTTAGGTGCAGTTGTGATTGCAGGGTCAGGACAAAAAATAGTTAATCCAGAAATGGATGGCTGTGGTTTGTTGTCTTCTGACTGTTCCTTGGGGGTTGGCTTAAAAAAAGACATCCAGCTTTTGCTGCTTCGCCGTTTTTCTTCTTTCATAAAGAAGCTGTTCACAGGGTGCCAAATAAGACCTTATTCCACGAACTGCTTCCCTGCTGCATTCTGCATTATAATCATTGTCTTCTAAGAGCTGCAGCTGCTTCTCCACTTCCCTCAATAGAAGACAAAAGAGAAGTGGAAAGCTCTCGTGGTGCTACATCCTGGACTTCATCTTCATCTCCAGCTTCCATTTCCCCCTCAGCAACAAGTTGTTGTAGATCAGCTGTAGAGGGGTCTTCACAGTGGGACTCAAACAGCTCTTCACATCCTCACTCTCAACATGTGATGTCGATGCTGAGACTCTGTTGAAGTAAACATTGTATTCCTCTACGCACCACGATTCTTAGTGTTGGGGATGGAATTGCCTAATAGCCAACACACACATGCACCAGTTTGTGTTTTACACACAGCATTCACATTTTCATCAATCGCATTACAGCCAATTTGCGTTGGCTGTCATAGCGGAAAGGACTGTATGAGAAAATTTTCTTATTCAATATGTGGATGTACCTATTAGAGAAGGAGCAAAATTTGATCTTCTCGTGGGAACTAAGGCGGGACAAGTGACTGAGGTGTCAATGGGGAGCACTTTGTGTCCAGTGATCATAATTCAATTAGTTTTTAAAAAGTGATGGAAAAGGATAGACCTGATCAAAAAGTTAACATTCTAAATTGGAGGAATGCCAATGTTGAAGTATTAGGCAGGACCTTTCAAAAGTTAGTTGGGGGAGGTTATTTACATATAAAGGGACAGTTGGAAAGAGGGAGGCCTTCAAAATGAAATAATGAGAGTTCAGAGACTGTATGTTCCTGTTAGTGTGAAGGGCAAGTCTGGTTGATATAGGCAATGCTGGATGACTAGAGAAATTCAGGTTCTGGTCAGGATCGAAGAGGAGGCACATTTCAGGTATAGATAGCTGGGATTGAATGAATCCCTACAGCAGTATAAGGGCAGTAGGAGTATACTCGAGGGAAATCTGGGCTGCAAAAAGGGAACATTTGCTTTGGCAAATAGGGTAAAGGAGAATCCAAGGAGATTCTACACATACATTAAGGGCAAAAGAATATACCACTTCTGTTCATGTCACCTCAGTATAGGAAAGTTAATGAATGTTTTTAATCTTTCAGCTGTTTAGGCTCATCCTCTAAATTTGGAGAAAGGGAAACGCAGCAGCCAATCAGCTGACAGCTTTCCTTTGATACTTTCTTTTCTTGTTCAGATCTGGGTGTGCCCCAGTTTTCTCCAGCTGCCAAGTCTCTCCTTTCTTTGTTTATTTGTGAGGCTGCTACCTATCCATCAATCTGTGGGGGCCATCCAGAATCTGAAATACTTTTCTTTAAATAAATATGTTAGAAACAGGGCAAGGAAGAAAACTGTCCATGGAAGATTTTTTTTTCTCTCTGGAAGTTCCACCTACTTGTAGAAAATGTAGAGGCAAATAGTAATGCAATCCTGCACCTTCCCTTATCTTTGCTGTCAGAAAGTTGCTGCTTAGTTTTCAGTGGAGCCATTATTAATGTTATGAGACTCATTATCCTCATTAGCTGCCGAGCTAAGTTCAATTCTTCTGATATGCGATCACTTTTTAGTTAGGGGCATGATGTTTGTGCAAAGTCCCGTTCAACATTCCGTCCAGAGCCTGCCCAGAATCTCCCCGAGTTCATAATACCATCCAAATCACTGGCAGAAAATCTGCATTACTGGCTCCTGCCAATATCCAGAGAGTGGCTAAATGCAAATGGTTTGGACATAAGCTGCCCAATTTAGCCACCTCTGTCTCATTGTCACCAAGACACAAAGAGACATGCACATGTGCACATGCACACCATCTCTCACTCTCCTCAACAGCTATGTAGGGACACTGACATATGACTGTTAATGGTACAGAGTTCTTGTGACATCACATAGGCCTACAAAGGGCTGAGATGCCATATAGTACCTTGATTTCACAAAACACTGCATCCCAAAGCTTTCCAGTGTTCTTGGAAACACGATGAGCTAAACGGAAATATGTTGCATGAATTTTCATAAACCTGTGAAATACACAAGCTGACAAAGCTAAAGCTGTTTCCAGTTGTGCAATTTTAGGAAAAAGACAACTTTCAATTTATATAGTTTACCTTTTTAAAGGC